AGGGAAGTGCAGAAGGTAAATTCTCCCCCTCATACTTCTTGTATGTGATGAAGCTTTTCTGGTATATGATCTCCTTACATATCTCTTTGGAGCAAGGGAAACTTTAATGAAGGTGGGACAGTCTGTGAGTGGAACTCTCAGTGGAAAATCTTACCATTATTCCAATGGGGTCAAGAGAAATTTTGACGTTTGCAAAAGCTAGCATTTTTTCCTATTAATCCACTAAGAATGACATCCTTTCCAGGGTTCTACATTCCGTTCACCAGGGGTAGTTCCAAATTATTTTAAAAGAGCAAATGACACTTATAAATTATATAAAGGGTTACAGCTCTTTCAGAATTTGTCTAGCAGGTTTTCCTGTCCTCACTGGAAGACCTCCCTCCCCCACCGCCAAAAACAAACAAAAAAAAATATTGTATGTTAAAACAAATCTAAAAAATAAAAAGAAATGAAACCCTACAGTAAGTGTTTTCTTCACACCTGTAATGTGCTGGAATCACTGAAATAGAAAAACGAACAGAAAACTACCGGCTACTTAACATTTGTCAAAAAAAACTATAAGAAAATAAAAGCCATTAGGCCAAGACAAACTTATATTGGAATTTTTTTTAAGACTTATTTATTTGTACAAGAACTGGGCTAAAGGGCAGAAGCACAGGAGGGTGAGAGAAATCACCAGAGACAGAGCCTGGGCAGAATAAGCAGACATACCAAAAACAATGTTAAGGGGAGCAGCAGGCAAGACAGGAGAGGTTTGCCCTGCCATGTGGGAATCTCCCTGGCCAGCCGAAAAGGAATCCCCTTTACAGAGGCTGCGGACAGCTTCACAGCGCGCTGCACTCAGGTTGCTGTGCCACCGCAGAGGCCTACATTGGAATTTATTTCAACACAATCTAAAATGTTAACATTCAAACGAAGGAAGTGATGGAAAGAGTCATTTTAGCTCTCTCACACCAATTACTTTCATGCAAGGGACAAAAGACACATCCCAATGCCTGCTGTGGATGGCAACCTTCAGCAATCACGAATTTAAAGAAGAGACTACACACACACACACACACACACACACACACACACACACACACACGCACCCTACCTAGAGCCTTTGGCTTGTGGCTCTCAGGTGGCCCGGGACAGGCCGTTCACTGGCAGCGGGTGTATCTGATGGCGACCTTGGTGGCCTGGCTCGCGGCGCGCTTGCCGGTCTCCCTGGGAGCAGCAAGCGCACTGTCCTCCGGATCTCTCTCCATGAGGTGGTGGAGCCTTGGGGCGGTCCAGGAGGAAGGCACCGTCTGCCGTGTGCTCACGGATATCATTAGGAAAATAATTTGCCGTGAACATGACTGGAATAAAATACCGATATTAAGATGAACCTGTTTCAGGACCTTGGAAGCACAGTTGGAATGAACTGTGTTGGGACGTCTCTTTCCTATCTTCCCTCTCTGTTTTGGAAGTGGCTTTCTTTCCTTTTGTTTTTTAAGATTTATTTACCTATGCACACAAGATCTGGGGTACAGGCCAGAGGCGCGGGAGGCGAGAGGATCCACTGGAGACAGAGCGGGAAACAGAACGGGCAGCCTGACTGAAATACTCTGCTGAGGGGAGCAGCAGGTGCGCCAGGAGAGGTCTGCTGTGCCGTGTGGGCTGCTCCCCGGCTGGCCTGGGATGGAAGTCGCGCTGCAGAGGCCGCGGACAGCCCCACAGCGCTGAGCTCAACCCCCTGCACCTCCAGGGAGGCCCCAGGAAGTGGCTTTCTTAAAGCCTTTCTTGTGAAGACAATTTAGAAAGCTGCTCAGCCAGGACCCACGGCGCTCTGGGTACCCCAGCCAAAGAGAGGCGTGCCGGCAAGGGAGCAGAGGCTATTTATATGTCCTGTATTCAAATGAGGCTGACATACTTGCAAGTCTGATTGGCTGAAATGTGCAGGAAGCCCTGTCAATAAGCCATGATGTTCAATGTGATTGGGTGGGCCTGCAAGGGCCAATGAGAAGGCATGGAATAATTACACCACCTAGGAGCTTCCCGCAGCCCCCACAGGGAGCACTGAGAAGCCGCCAAGGAGAGCACCCTGTGGTAGAAATTTCAGCTTCAGTTCGGTGAGTGTCTGACCTCAGCCACCCAGATCCATGGTGCCAGGTGTTACACGCTGGTCTCGCTCGGGCCATTTGTCCACGGACCCCAAATCACCTGTTCCTGCCGCCCTAAGTCACTCTCACTAGAGCAGGAAATGTCGAACTCAGGGCGGAGCGCCTGAAAAATTAGGAACTCGGCTAAGTGACCACCCCTGCCAAATTCTGGTCCAAAACCTTTAACGCCAACTTGGAAGAACAGCAAAACCCACCTGCAGATACTGAAAAGAGAAACAGGCCTATTTATAAGGTGGTAAAAGAGCCTTGAACATTAACCAAAATTAAAATTCTCTCCTCATTACACTTAAGTCAACTACGTAATTGTTGAATAACTGTGAGCACCGTTGACTGAAAGAAAAAACAGAGTTGTAGGTACACGTGACCTCAACAGTGAGGCAAAATGAATAATATAGTTAAGATTATTCTATTTAAAGGTTAGTTTTCAACTATCTATGACACCATTGAAAAACTGACCGAATGTGTCATTTGAGGAAACTCTAAGTTACAGAATTGAAACCCAAACCTCCTCCCCTCAAAAGGTTTTAAAGGCTACGACAATGAAAAGAGATTGAGGTCATCAATGAGCTATCGAATAAATGGCCAGGATCCCGAAAATATTCAATGTCAGGTGAATAAGGAATAGTTTTCTTTCCTGTTAATGAAAGTGACATAGCATGAAGGGAAAAAATATGTGTGTGTGTGTGTGTGTAGCAAAGTAAAGTGGTTTTATACCTTTGTGTGCTGCATATCAAGCTAAAGAGCGCCTGGAAAATTACACTGGACACTTTGGAGAATGTGCGTGAACTCTAAATCCCTAGGGGTCTATCTTCACTTTACACCTCACAGAGACCAAACCTGAAAAAACCTAAGCCAGGGCCCCTCGCGGGCATCTCTCATACACTACGGCCATGGGAAGTCCGTCTCCCCTGACATGAGGGTTACCGCGACTGCACCAGCCTCGATCGCATAGTTACTGGGGGAAGCAAGGGTGGGCGGCACGGGCAGGGCGCCGCCAGCTGGAGGGCCAGCAGGCCGTGTTGGGAGAGCTACAGGTCTTTTTGTGCCAAGGGAGGTGGCTCTGAAAAGAGCCTTTGGTTTGGGGGCTCTGAAAAGAGCCTTTGGTCTTGGTGGCCCGGACGGGCGTCTCACTGGCGGTGGGTGTACCCGATGAGGGCCTTGGTGCCCTCACTCACGGCGTGCTTGCCGAGGTCGCCGGGCAACAGCAGGCGCACGGCTGTCTGGATCTCCCTGGACGTGAGGGTGGCGCGCCGGGTGGAGCGGGCCAGGTGGCCGGCCTCCTGGGCGATGCGCTCGAACATGTCCTTCACGAAGGAATCCAGGACGCTCACGGTCAGCTGCGAAAGGCTCAGGTCCATGTGGACGCACTTGAGAACCCGGGGGAAGTAGGTGGCAAAGCTCTCGCTTTGGTTCTTGGCGCGCCGCCGGCGCTCTGGCTGCTTCTGCTTCAGGCCCTGCGGGCTGGCTTTTGCTGGCTCCTCGGAGCACAGGGTCTTCTCGTTCAAAGCCTCGACGCGAGGGTCGGCCATTTTGGAGTCAACTTCCCGACTGCTGCCAGGAAGCACAATGGTGGCGGCCGTGGGAGGTGGCCTATTTATAGGGGCTGCCTCCCCTGCCGTCTAGGCAATGGCCACCTCTCATTGGGTGAAATGCAACCGGGGTGGGCTGTCTCTAGGCAGACTAGGCGTCTGGTCACATGGGATTGGTTTGTCTTCTTGCAGGGCATCATGGGGGACTGGCATTTGGTGACCTCTAATCTTCCTATGAGCTCTTCAGGAAATCGGTGAAAGCTGCCCCGTACAGCAAATGGTCATCTGAAACCATCTACTGAGCTGTGATTAAAGCACGAGAGCTTTGACAGCCCTCACCAAACACATTTGAACTATAGAAATTAAATAGAAATCGAATGTGTGCGCTGTCACTGGGCTCAGATAATAATGTTTCATTATTGGTAAAACGAAAATATTTGAAAGATGAGGAGTTTGCCACGAGGTCCAAAACAAGATCATGACGGGTCATTCGCTATTCTTTTACCTTAATCGTCCTTTTAAAAGAATAGTTACAGGGGCCTCCCTGGTGGCGTAGAGGGTTAAAGCACCGCAGTATGAGGTAATCCGCAGCCTCGGCAGCGTAAGTTCTAGCCCCAGCCGGCCAGGGAGCAACCCACATGGCGAGGCAGACATTTCCCGTCTCCTCTGCTGCTCCCCTCAGCAGTGCATTTCAGTGTCTGCCTCGCCATGTGGGTTGCTCCCTGGCCGGCTGGGGCTAGAACTCACGCTGCCGAGGCTGCGGATTACCTCATACTGCGGTGCTTTAACCCTCTACGCCACCAGGGAGGCCCCTGTAACTATTCTTTTAAAAGGACGATTAAGGTAAAAGAATAGCGAATGACCCGTCATGATCTTGTTTTGGACCTCGTGGCAAACTCCTCATCTTTCAAATATTTTCGTTTTACCAATAATGAAACATTATTATCTGAGCCCAGTGACAGCGCACACATTCGATTTCTATTTAATTTCTATAGTTCAAATGTGTTTGGTGAGGGCTGTCAAAGCTCTCGTGCTTTAATCACAGCTCAGTAGATGGTTTCAGATGACCATTTGCTGTACGGGGCAGCTTTCACCGATTTCCTGAAGAGCTCATAGGAAGATTAGAGGTCACCAAATGCCAGTCCCCCATGATGCCCTGCAAGAAGACAAACCAATCCCATGTGACCAGACGCCTAGTCAGCCTAGAGACAGCCCACCCCGGTTGCATTTCACCCAATGAGAGGTGGCCATTGCCTAGACGGCAGGGGAGGCAGCCCCTATAAATAGGCCACCTCCCACGGCCGCCACCATTGTGCTTCCTGGCAGCAGTCGGGAAGTTGACTCCAAAATGGCCGACCCTCGCGTCGAGGCTTTGAACGAGAAGACCCTGTGCTCCGAGGAGCCAGCAAAAGCCAGCCCGCAGGGCCTGAAGCAGAAGCAGCCAGAGCGCCGGCGGCGCGCCAAGAACCAAAGCGAGAGCTTTGCCACCTACTTCCCCCGGGTTCTCAAGTGCGTCCACATGGACCTGAGCCTTTCGCAGCTGACCGTGAGCGTCCTGGATTCCTTCGTGAAGGACATGTTCGAGCGCATCGCCCAGGAGGCCGGCCACCTGGCCCGCTCCACCCGGCGCGCCACCCTCACGTCCAGGGAGATCCAGACAGCCGTGCGCCTGCTGTTGCCCGGCGACCTCGGCAAGCACGCCGTGAGTGAGGGCACCAAGGCCCTCATCGGGTACACCCACCGCCAGTGAGACGCCCGTCCGGGCCACCAAGACCAAAGGCTCTTTTCAGAGCCCCCAAACCAAAGGCTCTTTTCAGAGCCACCTCCCTTGGCACAAAAAGACCTGTAGCTCTCCCAACACGGCCCGCTGGCCCTCCAGCTGGCGGCGCCCTGCCCGTGCCGCCCACCCTTGCTTCCCCCAGTAACTATGCGATCGAGGCTGGTGCAGTCGCGGTAACCCTCATGTCAGGGGAGACGGACTTCCCATGGCCGTAGTGTATGAGAGATGCCCGCGAGGGGCCCTGGCTTAGGTTTTTTCAGGTTTGGTCTCTGTGAGGTGTAAAGTGAAGATAGACCCCTAGGGATTTAGAGTTCACGCACATTCTCCAAAGTGTCCAGTGTAATTTTCCAGGCGCTCTTTAGCTTGATATGCAGCACACAAAGGTATAAAACCACTTTACTTTGCTACACACACACACACACACATATTTTTTCCCTTCATGCTATGTCACTTTCATTAACAGGAAAGAAAACTATTCCTTATTCACCTGACATTGAATATTTTCGGGATCCTGGCCATTTATTCGATAGCTCATTGATGACCTCAATCTCTTTTCATTGTCGTAGCCTTTAAAACCTTTTGAGGGGAGGAGGTTTGGGTTTCAATTCTGTAACTTAGAGTTTCCTCAAATGACACATTCGGTCAGTTTTTCAATGGTGTCATAGATAGTTGAAAACTAACCTTTAAATAGAATAATCTTAACTATATTATTCATTTTGCCTCACTGTTGAGGTCACGTGTACCTACAACTCTGTTTTTTCTTTCAGTCAACGGTGCTCACAGTTATTCAACAATTACGTAGTTGACTTAAGTGTAATGAGGAGAGAATTTTAATTTTGGTTAATGTTCAAGGCTCTTTTACCACCTTATAAATAGGCCTGTTTCTCTTTTCAGTATCTGCAGGTGGGTTTTGCTGTTCTTCCAAGTTGGCGTTAAAGGTTTTGGACCAGAATTTGGCAGGGGTGGTCACTTAGCCGAGTTCCTAATTTTTCAGGCGCTCCGCCCTGAGTTCGACATTTCCTGCTCTAGTGAGAGTGACTTAGGGCGGCAGGAACAGGTGATTTGGGGTCCGTGGACAAATGGCCCGAGCGAGACCAGCGTGTAACACCTGGCACCATGGATCTGGGTGGCTGAGGTCAGACACTCACCGAACTGAAGCTGAAATTTCTACCACAGGGTGCTCTCCTTGGCGGCTTCTCAGTGCTCCCTGTGGGGGCTGCGGGAAGCTCCTAGGTGGTGTAATTATTCCATGCCTTCTCATTGGCCCTTGCAGGCCCACCCAATCACATTGAACATCATGGCTTATTGACAGGGCTTCCTGCACATTTCAGCCAATCAGACTTGCAAGTATGTCAGCCTCATTTGAATACAGGACATATAAATAGCCTCTGCTCCCTTGCCGGCACGCCTCTCTTTGGCTGGGGTACCCAGAGCGCCGTGGGTCCTGGCTGAGCAGCTTTCTAAATTGTCTTCACAAGAAAGGCTTTAAGAAAGCCACTTCCTGGGGCCTCCCTGGAGGTGCAGGGGGTTGAGCTCAGCGCTGTGGGGCTGTCCGCGGCCTCTGCAGCGCGACTTCCATCCCAGGCCAGCCGGGGAGCAGCCCACACGGCACAGCAGACCTCTCCTGGCGCACCTGCTGCTCCCCTCAGCAGAGTATTTCAGTCAGGCTGCCCGTTCTGTTTCCCGCTCTGTCTCCAGTGGATCCTCTCGCCTCCCGCGCCTCTGGCCTGTACCCCAGATCTTGTGTGCATAGGTAAATAAATCTTAAAAAACAAAAGGAAAGAAAGCCACTTCCAAAACAGAGAGGGAAGATAGGAAAGAGACGTCCCAACACAGTTCATTCCAACTGTGCTTCCAAGGTCCTGAAACAGGTTCATCTTAATATCGGTATTTTATTCCAGTCATGTTCACGGCAAATTATTTTCCTAATGATATCCGTGAGCACACGGCAGACGGTGCCTTCCTCCTGGACCGCCCCAAGGCTCCACCACCTCATGGAGAGAGATCCGGAGGACAGTGCGCTTGCTGCTCCCAGGGAGACCGGCAAGCGCGCCGCGAGCCAGGCCACCAAGGTCGCCATCAGATACACCCGCTGCCAGTGAACGGCCTGTCCCGGGCCACCTGAGAGCCACAAGCCAAAGGCTCTAGGTAGGGTGCGTGTGTGTGTGTGTGTGTGTGTGTGTGTGTGTGTGTGTGTGTAGTCTCTTCTTTAAATTCGTGATTGCTGAAGGTTGCCATCCACAGCAGGCATTGGGATGTGTCTTTTGTCCCTTGCATGAAAGTAATTGGTGTGAGAGAGCTAAAATGACTCTTTCCATCACTTCCTTCGTTTGAATGTTAACATTTTAGATTGTGTTGAAATAAATTCCAATGTAGGCCTCTGCGGTGGCACAGCGGGCTGAGCGCTGTGCTGTGAAGCTGTCTGGCGCCTCTGTAGCGCGTATTGGATTCCAGGCCTTCCAGGGAAACCTGGTGGGGCAGACGTCTCCTGACTATCCTGCTCCCTTCAGCAGTGTATTTCAGCCAGTCTGCCTGTCCCCCAGCTCTGCCTTCTGGTGAATTCTCTCACCCTTCCGCGCTTCTCGCCTGTAGCCCACTTCTTGTATAAACAGGTAAATCTTTAAAAAATAAATAAAGGAAATCTTTAAAAAAAAATAAATTCCAGGGCCTCCCCGGTGGCGCAGCGGTTGAGCGCTGGGTTGCGAAGCTGCCTGAAGCCTCCGCGGTGCCGGTTCGTTCCCCGGCTGCTCCCCGGCCACCGCAGGTGGGTCCCACTTGGCGTGCAGACCTCTCCTGCGGCCCGCTGCTCCCCTCAGCAGTGTACTTCGGTCCTTCTGCCTGCTCAGTTCCCCGCTCTGGCTCTGGTGAATTCTCTCACCCTCCCGTGCTTCTGACTGTACCCAGTGCTTGTATAAATAAATAAATAAAACTTTAAAAAAAAATTGAGAGGAGACACTCTTTAAAAAAATAAATAAATAAAATAAATTCCAATATGTTTGTCTTGGCCCAATGGCTTTTATTTTCTTATAGTTTTTTTGACAAATGTTGAGTAGCTGGTGGTTTTTTTGTTTTTCTGTTTCAATGATTTCTAGCACATTATATGTGTGAAAAAAACCCTTACTGTAGGGTTTCATTTCATTTTATTTTTAGATTGTTTTAATGCACAATATTTGTTGTTGTTGTTTTGTAGGGGTCTTCCAGTGAGGACCGGAAAACCTGCTAGACAAATTCTGTAAGAGCTGTAACCCTTTATATAATTTATAAGTGTCATTTGCTCTTTTAAAATAATTTGGAACTACCCCTGGTGAACGGAATGTAGAACCCTGGAAAGGATGTCATTCTTAGTGGATTAATAGGAAAAAAATGCTAGCTTTTGCAAACATCAAAATCTCTCTTGAACCCATTGGAATAATGGTAAGATTTTCCACTGAGAGATCCACTCACAGACTGTCCCACCTTCATTAAAGTTTCCCTTGCTCCAAAGAGATATGTAAGTAGATCATATACCAGAAAAGCTTCATCACATACAAGAAGTATGAGGGGGAGAATTTACCTTCTGCACTTCCCTTTTCATATATGCCTTTTCATCGAGATCATCACTCCCATTCTGGAAAACTGGAGATTACATGTAAAAGGATTTGGGGAAAGAACTTGCCGCACCAGTTGCCAGGAGTTATCATCATGCTATCAAGTGCAGTATAAACATGTATATGGACAACTAATCATTGACAAAGGAGCAAAGAATATGCAAAGGAACGGGGACAGTTTCTTCAATAAATGGTGTCAGGAAAACTGGACCACCACATACAAAAGGATGAAACTAGACATCTACCTCGCCCCATGCACAAAAACCTACTCAAAATGCATAAAATAATTGAACGAAAGACCTGAAACCATGAAATGTATACAAGATAATACAGGTAAGATGCTATATGACATAGATTTCTGTACCATCTTTATGGAATGATCCCCAAAAGCAAAGAAAGTGAAGGGAGTGGCATGGGTCTGTAGCTCCTTGCATAAAATTAAGTGATGCAAGGCCAGGAACTGAGAGAGCTAAGATGACCCCTTCCTTTCTTTTGCCATTGGAATATTATTATTTATGAGGAGGTAAAAAGAAATTCCAATTTGTTTTCATCTTCCCTCTCAACGGCTTTTATTAATTTCAATTTCCTACAGTGTAATGATAAATTCTTAGTATTTGTGTTTTCCACATTTTTCCCTAGTTATTTATGATTTCTAGCATGTTAAACTTGTGGCGAGAGACCCTACTATGGGATTTCAATTGTTTATATTTACTGTTTCTTTTAAAGTACACAATTCCAAACAGAGAGGTATATTTGACACACTTGAACTTCTAAGTAATTTGGTTTTAACCCTGGTGAATTGGGTGCAGAACCTGTAAAGAATGTCATTCTTAGCCATTAATGGAAAAACTAGATGAAGTACAAACATCCAACTTCACCTTAAACCACTACTGAAGTGAATAATCACGTGGACTCCTTTTGACTTCCTTTCTTGGACATCAAACCCCAAGTCTTCCAGTTTTTGAGACCTTCCACTTGCTAATTCTCCCTGAGATCCCACACTCCACAACCCAATGTTGGTACAATTTTCATGTTTTAATAATGCTTGCCTTTGATTTTGGAATTTACTAAGTGCAAACCTGCCAAAGCACAACAAAATATCCTTAAAATTATAGGAGCTTGTAGCAGAAAAGCATGTACAAACCATTTGTACATGACATGGACAAATGCTTTTGCCTGTGGCGGGCCCACTTGCAATGGCACAAAAGTCAAAAAACACCACCAGCTTTTGAGAAAGAACCAGTTTAATGTGGGGTCACCTGGCAGGACACTTGGAGGGAAGGCTCTCACATAATTCCCCAGGGTATGTAGCATCGTGCTGCATTAATTGGGCTGAGAACAATCACAGGTCATGGACAAAGAGGAGGGCAATGATGGGTCAGGAATTGAAATCTCACAACCTCACATTACTGGCCCTGCCCCTGGGTTAGTTTTCATCCCGCCAAATTCATGTGATGGTG